AGCACGGAAACCAATCTTCGAAGAAGGTTCCTTCTGAAGAGAAATATTACATAGACACCTCTTCTGTTGAAGTAGTCTGTTATTGCTTCGTGATGCGCCATCAATCCCTTCAAACATTTCTCATACTAATCAACTTTACAGTAACACAAAGATCATTTTTTTCCTGACTAATAAATCAATGAATGGTACCTGATTTAGCATCCATTTGAATCCAACAGCAGCAGTGCACTCATTCTTGGATGCACTGCTCAGCCAATCAAGATTGTAAACTTGGTCCAGTGTCTTTAAAATTGCAGAAACATTTCTCCTTCTGTCTTGGGCCCCCATAATTTCACCATTAGAGCTTAAATTTATATGGCTATTCAACAACGTTTCAAACCATCCACTTCCGGATCTCTGCATAGACACGATCACGAAGAACCGAACTGGATTGCAAGAACATTCCTGCCTGATAAAATTCAATCCAACCCAATATGATTCCAATCAATATAAATTGAATTACAGGCGAAAAAAAATTGTAAAAATCTTTACCTGCTAAAGGTTTGAGGTTCTGGGAAATGTACATAAGGAATGTCCCATTCTTGTATTTGAGCAGTTCTACAATGCCAGTTTCTTCTTCGGTCAATCACTTGAATTTTCAGAGGATTATTGTCTCTATTTGTCTGATTTATACAGAATGAAAAAATGTACAGTCCACAAACCATGGCAAAAAGTAAGACCACCATTCTTAATATCAGTGGATTCCTTTTAGGTGCCTTCACCACCAATGCATCCTGTATGCAAAAAATTATCAAATCTAAGCCTCGTTCTCAATAAATTTGGGATCAGAATTTGAAATAAAATTATCTTGAAAATACAAAGTATCTGAAATAAATCTAACCTGTGGTTTCCATCTCAGAATCTCCATAAGGAGGAAAAGAAAAATGATGAAACGAGAAACTAGAATCGGGTTTTGATTTCTTCTTCTTCTTTGTTTCTGTGTACAGTTAGAAATATTAGGAGAAAGAAATGGTCAGAGAGGGAGGTGCTTGGAAAAAATCAAGTCAAAAGCAAGAAAAACTTCATTTTACTCGTCAACTTCACCAAAGACTTCAAATAGTCAGCATCTATTTAAAAAATTTGAACTCCACGAACTTTCGTCCCTGATATTGACACTTAAAAACTCCATGAAATCAAAGCAGAAAGAGGAGAAAACACGCACAAAATCACTCCTAAAAATATACCTTATTAAGAAGGCATATTTTTCAGCCATCGTTGAAGAGAGATGATTAAGGCCAAAATGGCATTGCCCGTATTTTCCTATAATCTGTTGCTCGATCATTTGAAACATGTGCTTAAATTTATAGGAGCATAAGAAGAGTAAAACATGGTGAAAATGGGTAATCCTCGAGAAAAACGAAATCATTTTAACTTTACATTATTTGACTCTTCTTCTAATTGTTCTTGTTATTCCTCGATTATTATATATTACTTTTTCTTCAACTTTCGATGGCGTTTTCCAAATGGAGAACTTTGGCCTTTTGCTTATTCCAGTTGTCAATGGACACAAAAGTCTTCTTTTCTCTAGTTGTCAATCTTTTCTACCAAACACTAGGAGGAGAATCTTGATTCTTGGCACAGTTGGCTTCATAATAATCGCCAAGGATTGGCAAGGAAGACTTGTTAAAAAAACGAAAGGAAGAAAACACTTAAAAGCAGTTGATATAAAATATAACAAAATGAAAACAACTTAAAATCCAAAGACAACCTTATAAGGAGGATTTTCCTTTTCTTTTTGCTCCAAAGACTCAATGCCCATCATGTCGATATGGGAGATGCAAAGATGAAAATTCCAACAAACTCAAAAATCTAATTCCTTTTGGATCGAACTTTTCCTAATTATTAGGTGTCCAAATTACTATTTTGTATAATTTCTTTTTCAATATACCAAAATAGAAAGATAAGAGATTTCAGACATGAAGATAATGTTGGGTTTAT